AGACTATTCTTGATCTTGCTGAATCACAGTATGCAGACTTTGGTAAGTACTGCATGTGAAAGGAAGATACAACAGGTGTTCAGAAAGGTACTTGTCAATACAAGTAGCCACCAGACATCTTGCAAACTGTCAGTACATGGTGAAGAGGGGAAGGTGCTGTGCCTGGATGCCAGAACATCAGCTCTTCTGTTACCTCCACCACCAGGCCACTCTGAATCTTTATCTGACTGCTGAATCTGTTGTGGCCTCGGAACTAGGGAGCATAGCAAACAAGTTGTCTGGCGGCTACAATATTTGTGTGTTACATGTTGGTAAGTTCTTTGCTTATTCAGTGGGTTTTGTGATTCATGAACATATTTATTTTGTCAGTCGCAGGGTTTGAGCTCACTGTATGAATACAAGACCAAAAGCATTGAATTTTGCTCAAGGTCTAGAACATCTGCAGAACAGAAGGTACTTACTTTTTCTTGTCATTGGTGAGGAGATTGAACATATCTTATTTACTTACTCCATTGGTACAAACTTCTTTCTGCACTTGGTAGATATTCAGCTGATCAAGAAATTCCATGTTGGCATGGAACTTCAAGGTTCATTGTTGTTAACTCAGAAGAAGCCTGTCATTGAACCTGGTCCTGAGTTACCTGAACTAAGATCAGATAGATATAGTCCTTATATTTATTAGTAAAATATTGTGTGTGAACATTTAGGTTCATATCTATCTTTTGACAATTACAGGGTCTTGATTCAGTGTATGAACCTAAGCTAAGGAACCCTGAAATCAACCAAAGATCCATCATGTCTGCTAAACAAAAGGTAATATATAATATATTTATTGTAAAACAGATATATTGGTGTGAAGGAGCTGAGATCAATTAGGAAGGGGACTTAGTTGTGCGTATATGAGGTGCTATCATTTTCTTGGATGTTTGAGCCTGACAGTCCTGTAGACACTGTAGGATACCTTTGTGGAAGAGCTGGTTAATGGCTTGACCTTGCGGGAAAAATCCATGATGAATGATCCTGTTGATATCAAAAACATGATCAACATGCTCTTGATATCCAAACGAACCTGTCTGGCCTTCTTCAGACATGGAGATGAAGGGATTTTCCTCCAACATGATTATGCTGCTTTGTCTCTGGATCATATCCATAAATCCATCTTTCATTTACTTTGGTGATCTTTGAAAGTAAGGTCAAGCCATTGTGATGCAAACTTCTTCTTTCAAATCTGTTGACCTGGTAAAAATCAGATATAAACAACACAACACTGTCTCGCTTGAAGGCACGCAAAATCACGCTGAAGCAAGCTAGACAACTTGAATTGTAGATCCCTGCTAGTTTAATAGTTGGTTAATATTTCAGACAACACTTTCACCAATTGAGTCATCAGGTCCAATTAGTATCCAGGGAACTGGACTCTCAAAGATTGACTTTACGAAACAGTTGCTGGAGAAGCATGAAGACCCAAGTTTTGAGAAGAAGGATGGTGAGGAAATGGAATCATATGCATAAGTTTTCACCATGTTTAGAAATTCCTTTTTACACATTTTTCCCATAGAAAAAGTAAATTTATCTGTATGTCTATGTATGAAGTTGCTCATATTATCAGCCTTAGTTTTGAAAGGAGATGACTGTATAGTCTCCAGCCATCTTTACCTCCAGAGAAAAAGAGCCTTGTTGAGCACACAGCCATCTAAACAAGCCAAAGAGAAACAATTTCCAGCTATATTTACAAATTTATAGGAAGCTCAGGCTAATAAATGTTACTTGCAGATCTGGAAGATGGAATATAGAACACTTGGAAATCAAACATGTCTGTTAAAATGCTTTATTTACAGTTTTATTAAACATTTTTCACCAACTCAGTTTTAGTAGGAAATAAAATTAGAGAAATGTGCACAGTTATATCCTTCACATTTTCTGTGTTTAAATCTACATCAGTTGGTCATGCAAGTTTTTAAGGAGGAATCAAAACCATTCAGTATCAAATTATAAAATTCTGCAAGGTGATAGAATTTTTGTTAATATCATCTTATCCAAAATATAAATGGAGGAAATGGTGGTTGCATTCTTCAATTTGTTGAATATAAATGACACTTTTTTCTTAGTACACATACTAGAAATATAAAGATTGTGACAGTTGTTATGATGAGACTTTGTAAAATATAAATGTGGTGAGGTTAACTTCCCAAAATTGAAACCTGCCTTTATTACGTTGAGTCCTGTTCAATATAATTGTGAGTTGTGAACACTGTATGCCTTTAAAAACTTCTTCCTTAATTGCAACCCTGCCCTCATGCAATGCATTATGTTTGCATAAATGAACTGTAGTGAGTGGGTCACAGTGGTATAACCATTACAGTTTTAGTGCAGCAAATGCAAGTACCATATTATATATAGTTTTATTTGTAGATTCAGTTCAGTTTGTTTCTTGAATGTATTTGTTGAGTCACAGTCATATAGAACCTCAGCAATTTAGTTTGCTTTAAATCTGTAAATTATTCATATTGTCTTTGTTCATAATTTGCTCCACAAATACTGTTATGATATGTGAAGTTTTAAAGCGTATTTTAAATGAGAAGATGTTTGTGCCTGTGAATTGTTCTGTAATGCTTTCTTGTGTTGTTTAAGGCAAAATGTCCTGTGCAAGAGACAGAAGATGCAAGCAGAAGTTGAGAGGTAATAGGCATGTGAATTGAAGTGTGTTTTCTGATTGGCTGCCTGTTCAGTAGCTTTGTGTGTAATGCTGTAAAAACCTTTGCAGATTCCATTTGCATAAGACTGACTAGACGTGATTTTGTGAAGTTTTCCTGTGATGAACAGTGATAAAACAAAGAAAAAGTATACATTTTAATGTGCAATTTGTATTAAATAAATATTTCACATATAAAATGATCAAGATAAATAATATTTAGTGTGTTCGTTGTTTCATTTATTATCATCTGTGGTGTACTAGGCTGAACAGAGGCTGGCAGTATTGGTGCTTTACAGGTAAAAACTTTGTTTCCAAAGAGACCAAATAAACTAAAAGTAAAATTGAAATTAAAGTTTATTAGAGAAATGAAAAGAAAACTTAACATTGTAAAATTAATTGAGTATATTAATAAATATCTATTCAGTCACTTCAACTTGATAACATTAGTAATTTTATTTGACATTAATAATTAAATAGCACATTTACTGACAAAGACTGCTATTTTTTCATATACCCATTAAAGTACACTTTCTACTAATAAACTACAGGTTTTCCTATTTACTGAAAATGGCAAACAAAATTTTGTTGAACTTATTTCCCACTTTTTTCACATATGCATTCAAACAGTCTGTTTAGTAATGAAACAATAAATTTAAGTGGAAATAATTAGGGAATAAGTTTGTGAATTTCAGAATGTAATGTCTTATCTCCTTGGAAGAATTCTGCAAGAGTGTGATCAGTTCCAGGAAATTTGTTTTAACTTTTCAGTAGCATTTTCAAGTAGGTTGGTAGTCTTTCTTAATGCTAATCTCCAGTATTTTTTGCTTTTACTGTTTAAACTCATCAGTTTTGTGTTCTAGATATTCTCTCCTTTTTCCCAGCAAAGGTTCTACTACCGTGCAATATCGATATGAGAAGAATTTATAAAATTTTAAATGCTTGTTCCAAAAACACATGAATGTCAGTACTCAGTTCCATTACATTGCATGCACAAATAGAACTGTAGTTCAAAAATCGGTTCAGTGTATTCAAAACAAAAGTTAAGTTGCATAATTAGTTTTTTTATCTGAAATGCTAACATATTTTGTAGTAAATTATAATATGTGTGAGTTAGATTGTAAAAATAACGAAATAATTTCATTATTCATATAATTAAGTAAGTTCTGTACTGCATATAATTATTCAAGACTTAAATATTATGACAGGTAACTGGTGACAAAACATAAAAAATAGAGGGTTGCCGAAGTAAAGGGGCAGACTCTACTTGAAAGAAGTAACCTGTATAATAAGACTTAAATTATTCAGCTACAAGATTTTCTTCAGGAGGCCACATTTATGTGGTAACATTTGGAATATATGTACTGATTAAAATTTTAGTTCAACATTTACACGAAATGTATTCAGTACTTACAACCTCAGTTCATAGATGTCTCTTGTTAGAATACTTCTCCTGCCATCTTATGGCAGCTTCGCATATTATGTAAAACACATTTCTGTTGGCCGTGCTAAATTTTGAGCCTTCGCGGTAGTGAAAATGGGCGGGTGCTGGTTCAGTTCACATTTTACCGCAGTGGTGCGAGGCCATGTTGCGATAGCCAGGTTAAAAAAATAGCACAAGGTTAATGATGGACATTCATTTTTACTGAGTGCGTGTGATAGAGGACATGTCGACCTATCAATATACGAAATGTGCGTGCTTTTGGGAGTACCTGGTTCCTTTCACCAGATTTTGGGGAGTCTTCACATCAGTTAGTAAGTACTAAATTGTTCATTTACACTGCATGCGTATGCTGTTCGCCAGTCATGGAATGTCGACTGTCATCCAATGCTTGCTGTAGCAGTAAGCTACACGTGTTTGTCATATAGACACATAATGCAGTGTTGCTCTCCAAAGTCCGCTCAGATTAATTACAGATCAATTTCGATATCTGAATTTTTCCTTGCGTTTTGGCGACCAATCCCGTTCATTAACAATGTTGTCTTCATTCTACCGCAGAGAGTGCAGCGGCATGTAATACGGAACGAGTTGCTTCTAGCATGAGATCACTCGTAAAACAATAGAACAGGGGTCGCAATCTGTATTCATTGGTCGAATACGGCTACAATCATAGGAATACGAAGCTACCTAATGTCATACAAATTTCTGCAGTCTGAGATCACATGTGGAAAAGTAATTGGTTTCAGAAATCGTATTAAAAACAGCATTTGTGGTGATAAGTTGCGTTAATTAAGTTGGAATGGTTTTGTGTCACGTAACTCCACTGTCGTAACCCCAAATGTTGGTGTGTGATTATAATTGTGGTGGGACCGAATGGTAGTTTTTTTATTCATTGGAACGTCAGTTACCTACAATAAAGAGATTTTCAATCACAAAGAGCAATTACTACAGACTAAAGGCTTTATCAAAGATGCAGGTTTACGTGTTTGTTACAGAGCCGGCAGACAAAATTTAAACCACCGTGGATTATGGTAATGGTCATATAAAATGAGTCTTTTGAGTGTAATTGAAGGTATAAAAACTGTCTTAATCTTACGGTATTTACTGTCAATCACAACAGTGTAAAGATGGTACGAAGATACAGTGTTTTTCTGTAGAAGGAGGTTGCCTACTGATTTATGGTGGTGCGATTAAACAAGACGGGTATTATTCCAGTTTTAATAGGGATTTTGTTAACATCTTGACGTGACTTCATATGTAAGTAACTCTTCCGTCCGGCACACAATTGTTTATTTAATTATGTTAACGTATTTTAAAAATAGTGAAGTATCTTACTGTGCATCATACTTTTATTTTTATCAGGCGCGATATATTTTCTCCTCTCCATCATATTTCCCATGCTTTTGGTAGTTCAGGGTCATTTGTGAATTTCATAACATGCTGTATTTTACCGCGAAAGTCTGCTGGCACCGCGTCTTACCTTCTGCTTGATGACGTCTCCATTTCATCTATCCGTGACTGCTTTACAGGATAGGCTGTACACTGCTGCCCTCCTTGGACGATGTGACAAGTGATCCATTTAACTCTTACGTATACTATATGTATCAGTAACTTTACTGATTGATAAATCAATTGGTACGTATAGTTACCATAAATACACTCTGTGGGGAAAAAAGACAAGTTTTTTTCTGTTTGTTGCCCATAGAGTGTATTTATGGGTTTATATTTTTCAGAATAAACGATGATTATTTTCTCAAAAAGCATTGACCAGTTGACGCGTTGTTTTATTTGTAGTACTGACTGAATAATTAAATATTATTAAGAAGAGCTTCGGCTTCAGAGGGTTACCAATTAATATGATTAAGTACAGAAACTAAGAATAGCTCAGTCAGTATAGTGACTAGCTACGGGCTGGACGACTGGGGTTCGATCCCCGACGGGGGCAGAGGATTTTTCCTCTAGCCTCTGGGGCCCACCCAGCCTCCTCTACAATGGGTACCGGGATCCTTTCCCGGGGGTAAAGCCGGCCGGGGCGTGATGCTGACCACTCACCCCCATCTAGTGCCGAGGTCAAGGAAGAGAGGAGCTATACCTCCACTCACCCCAAACGCCTACATGGCGTATAGTGGGACAAACTTTACTTTTTTTACAGAAACCTAAAATTCAGCAGACGGTGCGTGGTTTCGGAGAATTACGAAGGAATATTGGAATAATATTTACTTATGACTTAAGATTTTAATCATTCCTATCTATGAAGTTTTAATAATTACGAAAATATACTTACTGTAATTAAATATTATCATCATTTTTATATTGCCATCATCGTTGTAACTTTGGGACACACAAGTCGAATTTCAGAGTACTGAAAGATAAATTGCAGGACTATGTATTAGGTTCTCAGTGATTTAAGGACGTCTTGGAGTGTTTTATGTATTCAGTTGTTTTACTGGAGTCTTGTAATGATCTCAGTTACTAACAGTTACAATTATGGGCTGGATTAGAATTATATTTTAACCCCATACTTTATCTCTAGTATGGGCTGTATAGATCCTATGGTAAAAGTGATGGGTGTTACATCAGGTAATTAGATTGAGGGCTGGTATATTGTTTGCCACCACACTTCTAAATTTTGACGTAAATACGTCTATAAGGAAGGGTCATTGGGCAAAAATGTGTTACGAAAAAGGGAAACGAGAAAGTGTAACTTCATTGTTATGTTACCTAGGAAACCTCATCTGTTTACTCGGCATTGTTGTTACCTATAAAACATTACATTACCTTACCTTACCTTACATTACATTACATTACTTTACTTTACATTACATTCATCTACCACAGACCCATCTTAAGCGTAACTAATTCAAGTTAAATAAGCAAAGTCTTAATCAAACTTTACTCAATTGTAAAGCATGTATAAAGGAAATATTTAGAATAAAGCCAATATATAAACTTCCTTTCCGTATAGACGTATTTACGTCAAATTCTCCGGAACTCCAAAAACAGAAGAACTTTTTATTTTAGTTATTGTTATGATGATTGAAGAATTCTTCATGTTATTAGTGTACAGAGGAGTCTGTGTTGATTGAAAAGGGCTGGCTCATTGATGAAACTTGAAAGTAGCTCGTTTCCTAGTATTTTATTGCTAGTTGTAATGGATTTGAACTGGAATCACGTAGATTTTATCATACGGTGTGTATTGGAGACAATGAAGTCTCGTCCCGATTTCGGATGGTTTCTGAGGCCAAGGTCTAGATGCATTACAGGGTCACTGTGTGCTGGGTTCGTGCCTTGTTTTATCTGTCCAACCAAAGAGCTTATACGTGTATGTGAACATCTAATAAGATCAAAAAATAATTTTGTTATTTGTTCGTGTATGTTCCTCCGTCCGATTGATTCAGTAGTAGCAACTCTAACTGGTGTTATTAATTCTAATTACGAAATATAAGCTATTGCCATTTTATAACAAAAAATGTGAATATAAAATTTCTTACAAGAGTTTGCGGCACATCTGAAACCCAGTGGCGACATACCAGTTGCGGAACACTGGTGTGGAAGTCAGGCAGTGCGGAAATTAAATACCCCAACAGTCGTATCACAGTGCTAAGGTATTTTAATGTTTCATATAGTAAAGCATTTATTTTATATTACTTCAGTTTTAGTGCGTGGAATTTTGAACTTTCATCTCAACGGCTTATGAATGGTTTAAAACCAACCCACAAGAGTTTCATACGCATTTATACAGAATCTGTGAGAATTTAAAAGCGAAAAGTGGTCTTTACATTTACAAAAGGGGTGGATTTATGCATTTCTTGAGATTTTAGCCACAAGTTTAAGTGTCTCGCTCTTAGAGCTCTCCTCACGTCGTGAAATCTTTACTGTATTTCGAAGTAATAGTGACGTAGGTAACTCTTTTCCGCAATGAATCCTTCAAGAAGATTGCGGAGACGCTTATAGTTTTCGTTTGTTTCCGCTGAGGTAGTAAGTCTCTCCGTTTCTTCAGTGTGGGTGTACTTCCTCGTATTAATTAGGAGCTACTTGAGAAAAATGATGAAGGTTACATGGAGATATTCAGTCTGTGAATCATTGAATAGAAAGTCGACTTACCTCGGTGAATTCCCTCTCAGCAGGCAGGATTGACAGAAAGGAAAAGTACTGGTGTTTTTTTTCCAAAAACAGAAGAAGGCGGAGTTGAGAGGATGAACGCCATGGGGGAACCACCTTATAACGTCTTACGTCATAAAACACTTGGAGAAGATTTTACTTTCACCGCTGACTACGTAATAATTGGAAGCAAGTCATATTTAAAATTGTCGTCATTGTCGCCCCAAGTTCGAACCTTGGCATCGCTTGCTATGCAGACTATCTCAGTTCTTATTAAGATGTACAGCTGGACCATGAATGGAGGCTTCTACATACAGAGACACTGACGAACAACCTGCTGTCATGAAGAATTATATCTTCTGAAATGTTTCATCGTGTAATGTGGTAGAAATTGACCGACGTTTTAGAGGTCCATATTTCAAGCATCCTGCACATAACTCACTAACCAATCTGGCTGTTCAGTTTGAATTTCAAGCAATTGAAGGTCGCCCGACTTCTGAATCATGTGATTGCTCTCCTCTGCTTGCCGCATCATGTGTATCGCTTCCCCAGAAGATGGCAACTGCATTGTCTGCCGAAACGTTTGAAAACCAACAGTCTACTCTTTTGACACTGCACTTCTGCCTGTTTCATACATTTTTCACTGTCTCTCAATCATCTACAGTTCTACAGTTTATATATGCGCTATTTAACGCCTCGGTTTCAACCGTGGATGTCATTACACGTCGAAAAGGAAAAGGTAACTGGAAGTCTTTGACCGTCTAAGAAATCCGGCATTCGTCTAGACGGAGTTTGGAAAACGCCGAAAGTTCTAGTTAGGATGTACGAGGTGCGATCGGAAAGTTTAAAGACTGTGTCAATATAGGGCGAACCGCATGTAATACGAGCTTCTGCCGCTAGGGGGTGCGGCCTACATTCATAGTGAATCAGTGTGCCAGCCGGCATCATCGAATTAGCATTTGTTTCTTAGTTACGGGCGTTTTGGTAGTGCATTACACCGACCCTCCTGCGATTTCGGAATGGCGTGTGCATCAAATTTGGCCAAAGACTCGCCAAAACGGCTACAGAAACCTATGAAATGCTAAAGCAAGCATTTGGGGAGTCCGCAAACTTTTGTGTGGCATTCACGTTTTAAAAATGGCCGAACCGCTGTCGATGATGACAAGCGTTCTGGACGACCATCTTCGAGCACAACGCCCGAAAATGTTACGAA